GAGGAGGATGAGGGTGTGGTGGTGGTGGTGGATTTGGGGGTTTTGGAGGAGATGTTGGTTGTGGTGGTGGTGGTTGTGGAGGTGGAGGTGGAGGTGAAGGAGGAGGTGGTGGTGGAGGTGGTGGACGAGGTGGAGGGGTGGTGGTTGTGGTGGTGGTGGTGGAGGATGAGGAGGAAGAGGATGTGGTGGTGGTGGTTGTGGAGGTAGTGAATGTGGTGGTGCAAGTGGTGGAGTTGGATGTGAAAGTGGGGGTGGTGTCATTTTTTTAAATGAATGATGGTATTTTGGGAATTTAAAAAATTCATTAAATGTTCATATCTGCTTCTTTTGAAAGCAGCTTTGAAAAGCAACCCAGAGTCTGCTTTTAAAAGCTGCTGTCAAAAGGCCATTGCTTTTAAAATAATCGGGATATTTTCTTTTTACCAAACACCTTAAACTGCTTAACTTTAAAGTGAAGCAGGTTTTTGGCCAAAAAAAGCAATCCCAAACGGGGGCTTAGTGGTATAAACCAAATTTAGGTAAAGTAAAAAATAGTCTAACTCTCTATTTAAAATAAGCCCAGTTCTCAATGTAGAAATAAGCCCATTCTTGAAGCATATAGGAAATAGTAAACATGCAATCCATAACCCTATATAAATTTGATTAGAAGCAAACATCAGAATTTTTCTTCTAGCCACCCAAAACGCCATATTTGAACCTTTAGAGCCTAGAAGAAATAACTCTCCCCCTCTAAAAAATTGTACCAACCTATCTTCAATGGGTTCTTCAATCTTTGGTAAGTTTTTCTCTTTTTTTTTATTTATATATATTCAATTTCCAATTTTAATTGTTGTTAAGTTTTTATGATTTAGGGTTTGGGTGAAAACTTTTGGGGATTGTTATATATGTTTTATTTTTGCAACTTGAATTATTAATTAGCATATATGATTTTTGGTGTCTAGTATTTCTTGTTAGGATATCATGTCACATGATGATAATAGACCGGCAAAGAGAGAAAAAACTATTTATTCATTCTTCAAAGGAAGTGGTAACAATAACAAGGATACACCTTCTGCATCTAATGTTGATACTTCAATTCCTGAGGAACTTACTCAACTCGGATCTAAGTAGTTGAACAATGTGTTTGATTTGATATTTATTTATATTTTGTACTTCTTTGTGTTATATTTGCTTGTAATGTGGCATTGTTTGATTTATCAAATTTTATTTACATTTTTGTTTCAAAAGAAAAAAGGCTTATAATATATCTCCTGTATAAAAAAAATTAAAATTTAGCCTACCCTATAAAAATTCCTAGGTCCACCATTGACTAAATGCAAGCCGAACATAATTACCCTCGGATAAGCATGGTTGTCCCCAGTGGCGGACCTATTAAGGCGCAAGGAGGTGCAACTGCACCTCCCCTCGCCGGAAAAACCATTATAGGTGCTTCAAATTGCCCATTTGCTCAACTGGTGTATATATTACTTTATTTCCATTTTCAACATTTAAGTAAATGTCTTTGTCCTTTTACTTTCATTTATTTTTATGTTACTCCATTTACTTAAGTTTACAATGTAAATATATAAGGAAGTACCCCCCATTTGGATTCAAATAAAAATACTAGAAAATCAAATTCCCACCAAATCAAAATATGAAAAATCGGTTTGAATGCAAAATATGATTTAGGCTAAAAATGATGGTTCATTAAGTCAATATAAAATCAAGTTTTTTTCATTTGATGTGTAAGGAATAAAAGCCGCCAAATATTATCTTGAGAAAATGATTATTACCCACATGTCGCTAGATCGTAACTAAGTTTTGATACCTTGTTAGATATGCATCATGCACTGCAGATTGTACTCGGATATTGTTGTGTTACAATTCTATATGAAACTAACTAGCACAACCAAAACGCACAGCTTCGACTCATCTAATCAGTGTGGGAGAGAACAAATCTGCTACCAAAGTTAAAAGAAGTTCTCTCTCTCTCTCTCTCTCTCTCTCTCTCTCTCTCTC